CATGCTAGAGTAGGGTGTATGAAAAAACCTTGTAATAACCTTAATCCTTATTTTTTAGAAATCACTGCTCAATTCAATCGTTACCGGTTTTAAAGATTAGTTGACTCTAATTCCTTAGTAGAAAACCCTTTGGTATTCTTCCTATGCCCCAATTCCTTGGCGGTATAGGAACAATCCCAAGCAACATATTTTATCTAAAACATTACGGTTACTATAGGGTATCCCCATTCCTAGGCAATATCTACTATAGTATTATCGTATAAACACGTTAACGATCGTTTTTCCAAACCTAAAGTTAACCGTAAAACAAATCCTTATTTGTCAAATAAGAAAAGCCATAAGAAAATTATACAATAACGACGATGATTAGAAAGTAGTAAAATACATTATTCAAAGGAAACAAGGTTATTACAGAGTCAATTCAGGGACATCCCCTAGCATTGGGGGGTTTAGCTACTCATAATAATAAAGATAAAATCAACAATAAGACTAAACATTACAAGATAATTGGTTGCCTTGATCTTCAATCGCTTCCGCTCATGAGGACCTTCAGTTTCCCAAATCCTTGATTGCTCCAATCTTTCTCGTCAAAATTCTTTTCCGTTCAAAAGTTCAATCCTTATTCTTTCTCCAAACACGTATCAAATAGTCTCAATTCAAACTAATCACTAGGGAAATACCCACAATACCCTCGGGGATCACAAGAGTAAAAAATACAAGAAAAATAGGGAAAAAAGCGCTTCCTGCAACACGGGCCGTGTCAGGCAACACGGGCGCCCGTGTTGGCTTCCTGAAAGATTTTTCGCGTGAAATTTGCAAGTCCCAGGTGTCACAACACGGGCCGTGTCACACAACACGGGCACCCGTGTTGTGCCACTGTTTTTTCTTCAAAAATCGCCTTTTCTGAGCAAATCTTGCAACACGGGCCGTGTCACACAACACGGGCACCCGTGTTGCACCCCTGTTTCAAATCTGACTTCGACTCCAACACGAAAGTCGTAGCTCTCTCTCTCTTAGCTTTCCGGCGGTTTTTAGAACACCTCAAACGGATTCCCGAAACTCCAGTTATGATCGTTTTCGTGCAGACTGCTAAAGATTTCACAACAAAACTCTTCCGAAATCTTGCCATTTTTTCCCAGTTTTCGCTCTGCTTCTCCTTTATTGTATACCTGAACCTAGAAACAGTAAAAATACCAAATCGACGCGTAAAATGTAATAAAAACAACTAAAATGTAACAAGACAAAACAAATGATTAACTGACATAAACGGTAAAGTAACATGTAAAAACCACCGATCATTAAGCCCCTTCATTTTGATTTTTTTTCCTCCCATTTTTCTCTTCTTTTCTCCCCTTCTTTCTTCTTCTTTTCATTTGTTTTTTTTCCCTATTTTATTTTAACTTTTCCTTATTTTTTTTAACACTATTAAAAATTCCAAAAAAATATTTTATTATTTATTTCTCTTTTTTTTATTTTTTCACATTAAGAACCTAAAAAATATTAACTATCATGTTTATTTATTTATCTTTGCTATTTTAATTAAAATCTTTAAAAATAAAAAAGAAATTATTTCTTCCTTGTTTATTTTATTATTCTCACATTTAAAAATATCAAAAAATATTTATTATTCTTGCTTAATTATTATTATTATTATTATTATTATTATTATTATTATTATTATTATTATTATTATTATTACTATTATTATTATTATTATTATTATTATTATTATTATTATTATTATTATTATTATTATTATTATTATTATTATTATTATTATTATTATTATTATTATTATCTTTCATTTTATGTTTTATAAAATCAAAAAAATATGTTATTAATTACTCATTTTATTTTAAAAAAATCTATAAAATATTTCTATTATTTATTTTATGTTAAAAAAATCAATGAAATTTTTGTGTTTATTTATTAATGTTTCCATTACTTTTGTTTATGGTTTTGAACTTAATTTTTGCCATGATACTTGAACACTTTTAACATGTTGAGATGGTGATGTTAGTGCATTGGATCATGCTTCAAATTTGAGTTTATTTGAGATACTTTCTCTTGATGGTCTTGTGTTACTTTTCTGATATTGGATTCATTGAACCATGCTTATACTTAAAGATCCATGTTTGATTTTACTTTGTGCCATTCTTTGTATACCTAATGGATTACATGTTGCTGAAGACGTTGCCTTATGATTGCTCATTGTTTGATTATGTGTAAGTCATGTTGATGTTGTGTATCCTGTTTCTATACTTGACCTCGTTGTTGAAATGTCAAGTATTACTTGTGTTCCCATCTTATTCCATTGTTGCCTAACCTAAGAGAGGGGATTTCTTGTTGACTTCTTGTCATATGCATATGCCTTCCTATCCTCTTTTGGATTTATCCATTTGCATGATCCTTATTTTCCCTTTAGTTGGATTGATCACCTTAGATTATTCACTCTAGGAAGTTTTCCTTAGGCAATACCCTTAGATGGTTCACAATTAGGTTCCCCTTTTTCTCAAACTTAAACTTTTTAACAGAAACCTTGATATTATGTCATTAACTTTTCAAACTTTTTTTCTCCATAAATATACTTCAAGACACTTTAAATATATTCAAACCATTTTCATAAAACTAAAAGACAAAACTTATTCAAATATTTTTCACTTTTCCTTTTTAACTTAAAAAATTTTCTCAAAAAAAGATTAGACATGATTCATCCCTAGTTGAGATATAAATCTCCTACCCTATGTCATTATTGAGAAGGATGTTGATACTTTTCCACTTGAGAGAGGTATGTGACATACTTGTTGATTGTACATCCAAGTTGGAGCCTTTCTCTCAATGTGAAGCAAAGATATATCTTCCACATGTTTGTGGTGGATTAGTTGAGTATTCTCCTTAAGATGAAAACTTGTCTCTTCTTTATTAAAATCTACAATAACAAAACTTTTTAAATTTGTACCCCAAATTACGAGGTTTGGATCCTTCATTAGTATGTAGGCACAAGATTTCTTGTCTTGCTAAACACAAAAGTAATATAAAAAAATGCTTCTCCAGTCATCTCCTCAATCAAGCAAAAGAAAACACTCTAACCAAGAACGCAAATACCACAAGAGGTTACTATAGCATACTATAGATACTTAGGATGCTAATACTGTCCCTTAGTATAACCAATCCCCGTACCTTAGATCTATTTATTGTATTGTTTTGCATTGCATGTTTATGGGTTTATTCGTTCTTTTCCCCTTCCCTTAGATAAATTAAAGATCAGTGGTGATATCTTATATTTTGTGAAGCCTAGCTAATCAATAGTTATGGTCTTCGATTCTCACCACGATAGAAATGGCGACTTCACTAGGGATATCTCCCAAGAGGGTTGCACCTATCTTATTATTTGTATTGTTATTATTTGTTTGTTGTTTAATTATTTACTCTTCTGTGGGTGTTTGGGTGACATATGAGAGGTGAGATAAGTTCTAACCCGGAATTGAATGCACAATAAGATAGGATAGTGGCATAATCAAAAGTTACATGTTAGGAGTAATCTTAAGTATGATTTACACATGATATAGCCATACTAGATGGAGGCCCCTTTGATGGTAGTATTTGTCATTGCGAGTAGTGGTAATGGAATTATTATTGTCGACCTAGAAGCCCAAGAAGCTGAGGACCTTTAAAACCAATTAACCTCTCTTAGCCTTTTAGAATATAGAGCGGTGACTATCCAGGTGTAGACATGAGGGAGTTGTTACGAGATAATACATTTAGACGAGTTTCTCTTGAGAATATTATTGGCCTGCGCAAGTAGTTTTGCAAGCTGGTAATATCTGAAAGATGGATCAATGAGTCTAGTAAGGTTATTGGATTGCGCAAGTAGTTGTAAAAGCTGATAATCTTTATTGCATTGTTTTGTATTGCATGTTTATGGGTTTATTCGTTCTTTTCCCCTTCCCTTAGATAAATTAAAGATCGATGGTGATATCTTATGTTTTGTGAAGCCTAGCTAATCAATAGCTATGGTCTCCAATTCTCACCGATACAATAGGAACAATGATAAATTGGGAAGTGTTAATGTTAAAGCCCGTGATTCATGTTTATGGAAACATATTATGAGGAATTGGTCTATCATGGATGATTACATAAGCTAAGATATTGGCGATGGTTTGAAGGTCAACGTTTGAAGTGATGTTTGGATGCAATCTGGGAAAATTCTCAAGGATTTGGTCCAAGACTGAAAGAAACAACATATCGACAATGTGGTCACACTTCTTGACAATATTGTTCAGTGGATGTCTCACTGCTAAACTGCCTCTTCAATGTATACATAGTAAATGATATTAGAGTTGTACTTCCACCTAGACATGAGAATGGTGAAGACAACTACATTTGAAAGTGTTCGAAGGACGACAACTTGCATGCTAATTACACTCACATTGACAAACTCACTTAAAAAAATACAAATTAATTTCAATGAGTTGGGACTCTAGAAGAACCCGTAGCTCCTCCGGGATAATAAGGAACGCTAGTAACTTTAATCCAATCATCTCCAAGGAAAAATCTTGATGGCAAGAAACCAGTTACTCCTTCCGATGTGATAGTTTTAACACCGGTCCATTTGACACGCTTTGAAACATCAGCACCAGGACCACGGTTATTGTATTCAGCATAGAAACATGTTTCAGTTCCTGTTATTCCTGTAAGTGTTTGCCATGGCATGTAACCATCAGGTGTAATCAAGTCACCGATGTATGTATCCATGAAGATAGTTCTTGAGAAATTCTTCCATGGACGAGCGAGGTAAGCTTTGTTGTCAAACCTAACTGGATAGTATGCAGGGTCCGACACAATGGAGCCTCCTTGAATGACCAATCCTGATGGTTGTGTTTTTTCTTTCCTACCTTGTGCTGTTACAATGCATTGTTGGTTTTCCATTGGCCTTCGGACAACGAATGTGCAATTTTGTAGAACAGCAACCGCATCGCCAAACACAAAGTCTATGGTACCTGAGATGGTGCAGTCGCGATAGAATTGACGCATGGTGTGAGCGTAAAGTGTATCTTGGTAACCATCCATTCTACATTTGTAGAAGATTGATCTGTCTGATTGGACTCTAAGTGCAACAGCTTGATGCTTTATTGCTCCAGCAGTGTTTTCAAAACCAATACCAAGTGCAACAAAGAAATCTCCAAGAACAGCTGCAATCAAAGCATAATAAGTACATATGAATACAAGCACTATAACTTTTAAGCCCGTAAGTGATAAAATATAAAGTAAAAAGTAACTTTTAGAATACACGTACCAACGGTTGCGGTTCTGAAGGTACCAATGCCATCAATGAAGTTTTTGTTACCAGTAATACGAGATTTCTTAGCACCATCACCGAGGAAAACGACGTGAGTTAAGTTTCTAGGAACTTCAACGTATTCGCTATAAACACCTTCTTTTATGTAAATAACAAAAGGCCTCTTATTCTTTTTGGGGACAAAGGTAAGAGCTTCATTGATTGTGGTACAATTTCCACTTCCATCCTTAGCAACAACGAGTTGAGCATTAAGTTTTCTTCCGGTCATTTTAAGTAGTTTCCTAACACCGACGCGATCTTCAACCCATTCAGGAAGCTCAAAATCACCATGACCAATAACATCGGGATCAACATCAGATTCATCCAAAAGACGACGAGACGGAGGTTTCATGCTTGTTAAGAATCTAGAAAGTTCGTTAATTATGGAAAGACCATTACTACTCATATGCATAGATGCTTTTAAAACCTCCTGCATTTTCTGACCAGCATCACCCGTAGTGTTCTCGAAAGCATCCAAACAAGTTTCTTGGTATGTTATTGCACCACTCAACCAAACCTTAAGACTCGCAAAGATTCTGTCGAGGTTATTAAGGTCAAATTGACTAAAGCTTTCCAATGATCTTTTGAATTCCTCAATGGAATGATGCATGAGTTCCTTACATGTGTCATATGCGTCACTTGTTCTTGGATCTTTTTCAAGATCTTTAAGGAGTTGAGTGTTTTCAAGCTCTTTGCTAATTTTTGTGATGGTTATGTTGAACGCGATTTTGATGAGTTCTCTTGGATCAGTTGTGTTTCCAGCTTGTGATGTAAGACTTTCCTCGCATTCTTCTTTGTAATCTGTTGGTGCACAAAGACTTTTAACAGCTTTCATTGACGAAGATACATGTGAATCATTTGTCTCTTCTATTGCTTCTTTTTTGCCGAGACTCACACTAACCGCGGCCACTGCTACCATAGCTACTAATAAGAAGGTAGACACGCCAATTATGGCAATTCTCTTAGTTTTGCCGTCGTCTCCCATTTTATTTATTTATTTATATTATTTAACAGCTACCAATTAACACCTTCAATACATACAAGAACAAGAGTTAGTTACAACATCGCATTGTAATGCAATTGTACGCGTGATCGTGATATGAGGTATGATATCAATCATGCGTACAATTTCATTTTAATGATATCAGAAGCTGCATGTCATTAACAATTGCAATAAAAACAAACAAATTATAAAATAATGAGAATAGAATTACTTACTTGGTGAGAAAAGGGATAGCTGGGTGAGTAATAATAAAATGAAGGACTTGTTAGAGGCTTTGATGATCCTCTTTGAAAGTCCTTCAGTGAATGTATTTATGATATTATAAGGTGTGTATACTTATTTATTTATACTAAGAGGTAAGAAGAATGAACATTTTTAAATTTAGCATGTTAGTTGAAAAATGTGAGCCATGAGTTTAATGAGGTTGATTTATTGGAGGTTAAAAAGATTTCTATAAAAAACGACAGGATATAAATTGTTGGGCAAAGCTTTTTTGTAGCTTATAGTTATTTTAAGGCAAATGCCCAAATTTATCCCTTTGATCACTAAAAATACTTCTCTAAATAAGACTAAATTAAATGAATAAATCACATAAGTTAAGAAAATTTAGTGTGCTATTAATATTAATATTGATAATTTATATAATTTTATAAAATTTTCTTTTAAGATAAAGAATTAGTTATATTAAATATTATGACCCGTTTATGATAGAATTTTTTATATTAAATATCATCTTTGTCACATTATTATATCCAAGAAAAAATAACATTTTTGTCATATCATGTCAATTTAATTGGTAGTTGGGCAGAAGTATCTGAATGTAACAGTGTAGATTCAAACTCGCGACATATCAATTTAATTTATTAGAAAAAAAATCATTGACATGTTATAAATTTGTTAGACTACTCTTAGTTACCTATAGATCTAAAACGACAAAGGAAGATAAAAAGCACAAGACATAAACTTTTCAGAATTTTCATTACCTTCAAAGTAACAAGAAGATGATAAAAATAGTTAGAGTTTACAAAAGGACTGATAGATCATGGGCTCAAATAAATAAAAACACAAACAGTAAGTAATAATTAATAGTTGGACCCCCTAATTTAATAGTAACAATCCTTCAATAAAACATATATCTTCTTGTCTCTAATGGACCTTGAACTCTTCATATCATTACTCGTAGGCCCAATAAGAACATTGTCTCAAAGTTCATTGATGAGGTGCAAGTGGGTTGAGGAAGAGGAAATGGGTTTGGTCCATGATGGTTGGTGTTTTAGTCCGATGGTTTAAACCATTTGTTTTGCGCCTACCTGAAGTGGGAATGGGAAATGTTGGAAACAACTTGGGCGACTTGCAAGAAGCATCCTGCGTGTCAGAAGAAGCAATTTTTTTTTGCTTGGAAAGTGAAATAGGTAGCGGGTTATATGGTAGAAAAGGATAGTGAAGGGATAAGGGTGGCATGGAGACTGCACATGGGGTAACGTGTAAGGGAATAAAAGTTGGTTAGTGGGGTTAGGTGAAATCATAACACCTCGGGCAGTGTGTTCTCGAGCCGTGTGCATAGAGTTTAAGTGCAATGCATCATATTTGGTAAGAGTGGGGGGACGTTGGGCCCTGCAGTCATATGGGCTGGCAAGAACATTAATAAGAATGGGACAAGAAATAGTAGGAGTCACGTGGGTGACTTTAGATAGGTCAGAAATGGACCGCTGGCAAGTTGTTTTATATAATACCCCTTTAGCAATCTCTTGTTCATTTGGTACTTCACCCAAGTCTTGAAATTTTTTTTGAGTTTCTTTCGTACTTTGTTCCACCTTCAAAATAGCTCCATGTTGTTGCATCGCTGGGAAGAGGGGCCGGCAATGACAGACGACTCGCCACCGTTCTTTATTTATCCCAAAGAGGGAAAGGAAATGATCAGAGAAAACCTAATGAAAAAGGAATAAGACAGGTCATCGCAACTAAATCTCGGGTTCGGGAGTCGGTTACGCAAGGGGAGGTATTAGCACCCCTCACGTCCATCGTACTCGACGGGATCCACGCTTGTTGTCTAGTCTATGGATGAAAAAACAAACTATCTACGACTGCTAATGCTAAAACAGAAAGAACTGAAAAGAACGGAAGGAAATGACTCAATAGAGCATCGCCACTCTATGCCTACGTATTCCCTCGTGCAATGGAAAAGTCAGAGTCAACGTAGTTCGGGAAACTATAGGGGGGATTGCTCGCCAAGACATCGCGTCTTATGCCTACGTATTCTCGTCTGGTACGAGAAATCAGAGCAAAACGTATTTTAGACCAACTACAGGTAAACGGGGTGTTCTCGATCACACGAGGGTGAGAGAAAAGGTAGACGATACTAACGCACGCATTCTAGCAATTAGGTGTATTACTGCTCGACCATTGGAGACTTAGGTGTTACCAGTTTGCGGTAGAACGGGCATAAAACGTCATTGGTTTAAAGGTACGGGTTACCTAAAGGGAAGAGGGAAAAGTGTGCTCGCTAGGATTATCGCAATCTTATGCCTATGTACTCTCAACAGATATGAGAGATCAAAGCAGCCGTAGTTCGGCTAACTACGGAAAACGGTCACAATTGCACGGAGGCGAGAGAAAAGATGGGGTCTCGATTGCACGGAGGCAAGAGGGGGGGATCTCAATCGCCAGGACGGGAGAGAAAGAGTTTCGATCACACGGGGGCGAGAGGAATGAGGAAGCAGGCCTAACACGCCTAAACGGGAAGGAACTCGGGACACACACGCTAGAACCTAAGGCATAGGAGCAAATGCGTCGCATATTGCCCAAAGGGTATACACTAATCATTCTAGACGAGTGAGAGGAGGCCCCCACTCATCATTTCCCACGTATCTATTGCTTAGAACTCACAATGCTCGGCGGTTGATTAAAAGACTTGAATTAGAAAGATGTTATCGAACGAAGTGATTCCATTGACCCTTGACATTGTGCGCAAGCCCCATTCTAATATTCTCTTCTTTTGGTCCTTGATGTTGCTTTGAATTGGGACCAATGTGACGCTAAACCTTCATAGCTCGACTTATAAGGGAAGTCAAACTTTAAGAGGTCGCGTATCGATTTTCGTGCTATGGACAAGATAGAGAAATGATATAGAGGATCGTTCTCTAATTGAATCATGTCGCACGGACCAAAAATAGTGGGATCTCGTCTTACAAGACTTCATCGATCACCAAAAGTCAAAATAAAATCAAGAGATGAAGAGAAATGAGGAGAGAAAGAAGTGGTCTCGGATCCAACATTATTCATCAATAATTTGAATGGTAATGAATTACAGAAATGTCGTCATCGACCAAAAACAGGTGAGGTGAAATAAATTCAAAAATGAGAAAGAAGAGAAAAAAAAAAGTCGGTCTCGGATCCTTCATATCTCATCAATAATTTGACGGAGAATTGAGGAAACTTCTTCATCGACCTAAAAAGCGACATGAAATAAAATGTCCAATAAGAAAAGCGAAATAAAATTCAACTCTAAAATAAAAAGCATAAACTTCTAAAAGAAAATATAAGAACTAAAATTCTAAAAGAAATATAATAGAAATTTTGAAAGAAATTAAATATAAAAAGCTAAATATAATATGTTCTAATAAGATTCTAAATATATATATATATATATATATATATATATATATATATATATATATATATATATATATATATATATATATATATATATATATATATATATATATATATATATATATATATATATATATATATATATATATATATATATATATATATATATATATATATATATATATATATATATATATATATATATATATATATATATATATATATATATATATATATATATATATATATATATATATATATATATATATATATATATATATATATATATATAATATGAAAGGAAAGAAAAAGGTTAGAAATATAATATATAAAACTAAAATTAAATATATTTACAAAATATAATACATAAAACTTTTTTTGATAATTATAACTAAAAAAACTTAAATAATATATAAAAAAATAAAACAAAGAAAAATAAAAGAAAAAAAGGGGAGGGTGTCGCTACTGCGAAAATCGGCGCCGGCTGAACAAAAGAGTCGCCACCGTGTGTTATTTATCCCAAAGGAGGGAAAGGAAACGCTCGAAGTAAACCTACCGCAAAACGGGGAAAGGAATGGTCATCGCAACCAAATCCTGGATTCGGGAGTCGGTTACGCAAGGGGAAGGTATTAGCACCCCTCACGTCCGTCGTACTCGACGGGATCCACGCTTGTTTTCTAGTACGGATTGTTATTCTATCTATTCTACAAGTCTGGGGTTAAAAGAAAAATGACTCGGCAAAGTATCGCACTTTATGCCTACGTATTCCCATCTGAAACGAGAAATCAGAGTCAACGTAGTTCGCCTACCTACGGGAAAGGAGGGGAAGGTTGCTCGCTAGGATATCGCATCCTATGCCTACGTACTTTCATACAGCATGAAAGATCAGAGCAAACGTAGTTCGGGCCACGTACGACACAAGTCTGTTTTGATTGTTTTTATCTCCTTCTGAAAAAGGGTTTTTATGGTTAACAGTCCAAGCGGACAAAATTGACGTTTTGATGAGTTCACATTCTTTTACGGAAGAAGTGTCTTTTATTGCGTTTGAAATATTTATTGTGTTTTTCTGTTTGTTTTGAGAAAGAAGAGACAGAACTCTAACCTATGGTTGAAAAGGGAATCAAACTAACCTAATGTTATCATGCATGGGTTAAGACCTAATGTTTATCATGTTCTTCTCTTGCACAAAGAGAAACAGAGATCCTAAGGGGATAAACGGAAACAGAAACAACAGATACAATAAAACAGTAAAATGCATGAATGCAACAATACAAGCGAGGCAAGGGAGTCCCACTCAACCTCGAACCTAGAAAACAACAGGCAAAGTGAAATAACTTCACTTCAACCTAACAGGTTAATTGGCAAACAAT